TATTTTATTAAAATAATATAATTTTAAAATAAATTTCTCCAAATTTTTAAAAATAAAACGGAGAGGTACTGACCCAAAAGTAAATGCAGCCAAATGTCAATAATTTGTTTTGGGAGAGAGAACGTTGCAAACGCATGAGAGAATAGGGCTGGTTCTTCTCAGTCATAGCCTTTCCAATGTGAGAAAAGAAGTGCTCTCATTTTTTTTTTTCAAAAAAATACCAAATCCAGTTGATTACTCGTCGTGAACAAAAAGAACCCATTTAATTAAACAACAAGGAATCTCCATTAATTGACAGTGATAGATCAATCCTTCCTCACACACGTACGCTTCAAAAGCTAGAGAGACAAACTCACTGCTTTAGACATAGAAAAAAAAATTTTTTTTTAATTATTTTATTGTTTTTACTATTTACAACATCTTAAAATTTTTAATTAATTTAAAATTAAATAATATTAAATATTAAAAATTTTTTATTTATAAAATCTAATTCAAAATCTTATCTTAAAAAAAAAAATTTTTTTTATTGATACTTCTACTTTGCTTCTTTTCTTGAGAAGCAAGAAGAAACAGAATTACTATAATAATTACACCTCTTAATCTATATTGTTAGAGTAGAAATTTAAAAAATCTTTAATCCTAAACAAAGGCTTAATTTCATGGGGTGTTTTTTTTTTTTTAATTTCATGGCACATGGCATGTGATGTGTGCAATAGCTGTGTCCACTCTCACTCTTTTGATAAACACCCTGCTTACCTTCTTACTCTGTCTTTTTGACTCACTTGTTTTCTCTCTCTCTCCCTTCTCCTCTCCCACAAAACCAGAGCTCAAAGCTCTCTTCCTCTCTAATGGCGGACCTCAGATGCTAAACAACATACACCCTGTTTCTTTCTTTCTTTTTCATGTCAAGATTACAGATAAAGATGAGAACTTTATTTCCCTCCTCCTCTCTTTTTGTTCTCTCTCTTGCCGCCACCTTTCTCTCTCTTCAAGCTTTGCCGGAAAATAAAGACACCCAGTTACTGATCAACTTCACGAGGAGTCTCCCCAATGCTTCTTTGCTTCAGAACTGGTTTCCTAACCAAGACCCATGTCAGTTCACCGGCGTTTCGTGTCGAGAATCCAGAGTTTCTTCTATACAACTCAGTATAAAGTCTCTGAACGCTGATTTCTGGTCTGTTGCGAATTATCTGCTGACTCTTGAGAAGCTTGAGTCTTTGTCTATAGTTTCCAGCAACATCACCGGCAACATTTCTTTCCCTTCTGGATTTAAGTGCAGCTCCGTTTTGGGCAGCATAGATCTATCACAAAACAGCTTGTCCGGGCCTGTTTCGGGTTTGTCTTACCTGGGTTCTTGCTCGAGTTTGAAATCCCTCAATCTTTCCAAAAATTCTCTTGATTTTTCAGGAAAAGAATCGAGGGGACTGCAGCTGGGTTTGCAGGTTCTTGATCTTTCTTGGAACAAGATTTCTGGTGCGAATGTCGTTTCTTGGGTCCTTTTTGGCGGTTGCAACGGCCTCCAATACTTGGCTTTGAATGGAAACAAGATCAGCGGAGAAATTGACGTTTCTGGTTGCAAGAATTTGCAGTTCTTAGATCTTTCCTCGAACAATTTCTCCTCGGGGATTCCCTTATTCGGAGATTGCTTGGCTCTGGAGCATCTAGATATCTCTGACAACAGCTTCTCCGGCAACATCTCCCGTACAATTTCTCCATGTACGCGCCTGAATTTCTTGAATATGTCCGATAATGAATTTATGGGTCAGGTTCCAGCTCTCCCAGCTTCCGATTTGCAGTACCTTAATCTGTCCCGCAATCATTTTATAGGCGAGATTCCTTTGCATCTGACGGACTTCTGTTCGAGTCTGGTCGAGCTCGACCTTTCTTCAAACAATCTCACCGGTACGATTCCTAATGGCTTTGGTTCTTGCTCTTTCTTGGAGTCTATTGATGTTTCTTCAAACAATCTCACTGGTGAACTGCCTCTGGAGACAATCCACCAAATGGGTAACTTGAAGCATCTTTTTCTGGGTTTTAATCATTTCTACGGCACTTTGCCGGAATCTCTATCCAATCTCACCACTTTGGAGACCTTGGATCTCAGTTCAAACAATCTTATTGGGTCGATCCCTGTTTCTTTGTGTCAAAATCCTAGAAACAATTTGAAAGAGCTTTATTTACAGAACAATCAGTTAACTGGGTCTATTCCGGCAAGTCTCAGTAACTGTTCTCAGCTTGTTTCCCTTCACCTAAGTTTCAATTGCCTCACCGGAACTATACCGGCCAGCTTGGGATCTCTCTCCAAGCTTCAAGTTTTGAAGCTCTGGTTGAACCAGCTCCAAGGAGAAATACCACCGGAGCTCAGTAACATTCAGACACTTGAGACCCTTATTCTTGACTTCAATAATTTGACCGGAACAATCCCTTCGGGTCTGAGCAACTGCACTAATTTGAATTGGATTGCATTGTCCAACAACCGGTTGACTGGTGAGATACCGGCGTGGATTGGGAACCTGTCACAGCTTGCTATTCTAAAGCTGAGCAACAACAGTTTCCATGGAAGCATTCCGCTGAAGCTTGGAGATTGCCAGAGCCTGATATGGTTGGATCTGAATACCAATAATTTGAGTGGGACGATTCCTCCTGTCCTATTTAAACAATCCGGAAAAATTGCAGTGAATTTCATTTCGGGGAAGAGGTACATCTACATCAAGAATGATGGAAGTAGAGGGTGCCATGGATCCGGGAATTTGCTAGAGTTCGCAGGAATCAGGCAGATCCAGTTGGACAGAATTTCCTCCCGGAATCCCTGCAACTTCACCAGAGTCTATGGAGGTCACACGCAGCCCAATTTCAACTATAACGGGTCAATGATTTTTCTTGATCTTTCTTACAATATGCTGTCAGGTAGTATTCCAAAGGAGATTGGCACAATGCCATACCTCTTCGTCTTGAATTTGGGGCATAACAACTTCTCTGGACCAATCCCTGAAGAGATTGGGAACTTGAGGGGTCTTGGAATTCTTGATCTTTCTTACAATAAGCTAGAGGGGATTATCCCGCAATCCATGACTCATCTTGCCCTACTTAGTGAAATGAACTTGTCCAACAATCATCTTACTGGTGCCATTCCTGAAATGGGTCAGATGGAGACATTTCCTGCTTATGACTTCGAGAATAACATAGGTCTCTGTGGGTATCCTCTTTCTCCCTGTGAGTCAGGCACGGCATCAGGAACTCATCATCGAAATTCACACAGCAGACAGGCTTCCCTTGCTAGGAGTGTGGTAATGGCGTTGTTGTTCTCCCTCTTCTCCATCCTTTGTTTGATTATAGTTGCTGTGGAGACTAGGAAAAGAAGGAAGAAGAAGGATTCTGCTGTTGATTTATACCTTGAGAATAATTCTCACTCTGGCACTGCAACTACTAGCTGGAAGATCATTGGTGCTCGGGAAGCTTTGAGCATAAACCTTGCCACATTTGAGAAGCCTCTCAGAAAGCTCACCTTAGCTGATCTTGTTGAAGCTACTCATGGTTTTCACAATGACAGCCTTATTGGTTCTGGTGGTTTTGGTGATGTATACAAGGCCCAACTGAAAGACGGAAGTGTTGTAGCCATCAAGAAACTAATACACATCAGTGGACAGGGTGACCGGGAATTTACGGCTGAGATGGAAACCATTGGGAAGATCAAGCACCGGAACCTGGTTCCTCTCTTGGGGTACTGCAGGGTAGGAGAAGAACGGCTTTTGGTTTATGAGTACATGAAGTATGGTAGCTTAGACGATGTTCTACATGACCAAAAGAAAGCTGGGATCAAGCTGAACTGGGCGGCAAGGAGGAAGATAGCTCTTGGGGCTGCTAGAGGTTTGGCTTTTCTTCACCACAATTGCATTCCACATATAATTCATAGGGACATGAAGTCCAGCAATGTCCTGCTAGATGAAAATTTGGAGGCTAGGGTTTCAGATTTTGGAATGGCAAGGCTTATGAGTGCAATGGACACACATTTGAGTGTCAGCACATTAGCCGGCACTCCTGGCTATGTTCCTCCTGAATACTTCCAAAGCTTTAGATGTTCCACCAAAGGCGATGTCTATAGTTATGGTGTGGTTTTGCTTGAGCTGCTGACTGGGAAGAGGCCTACAGATTCAGCCGATTTTGGTGACAATAATCTTGTTGGGTGGGTAAAGCAGCATGCCAAGACAAGAGTGAGCGACGTTTTTGATCCAGAGATCTTGAAAGAGGACACCAGCCTTGAGATTGAGCTTCTACAACACCTAAAGGTAGCTTGTGCATGCTTAGATGATCGACCATTCAGGCGGCCAACAATGATCCAAGTCATGGCAATGTTCAAGGAAATACAAACAGGCTCTGGCCTTGATTCACAATCCACCATAGCCACTGATGATGGTGGTTTTGGTGCGGTCGAAATGGTAGACATGACCATAAAAGAAGACCCTGAAGGCAAGCCGTAGGTGAAACAGAGTTTCAGCAATTTTCAACAGAATTCTTTGAAGAAGAAGAAGGTAGCAATTTCATTCAGTTCCCAGAAAAGTTTTCCCTCTTTTACCAGTTATACCACTTTGTATCTGTACCATTTGATGTATGTATCTCGTGTTATTTATACATAAAACGTTGTTTAACTTGTTAGAAAATGTGTAAATATACAGTTTCTTTTCCAGTTTCCAATTTGCTCGGTTTCTAAGTTGGTTCTCTATCAATAGAAAGTTTGTTTCAGATATTAAACCATTCAAAGTCTTGGGTCGGTGATGGTGACAAAGTGGAGACTTCTTTTGGCCCCTTCTTTACCCACCATGACTTGTTTTCATTCACTCCTTTTCTAATATTCCAACTTTATTCCATCCATCAAAACCCAATATCTCATAAACACAACAACGGTTTAAATTTCTGCAATAGCTAAGTACTAACTTCTTTTGCCGGGTTACTCAAATTGTGATCCGTTCTTAAGTCTCCTGAATTGAAATGGGTATGTTGATAAAATCAAACTGAACATAAGGCACAAGTTCAATGATGCCACAAATTCAAATGGGTATAGCTGTGCTCTAGCTATGTGATGCCCAAGATCATGGAAGTTGGATAATATAAAATCAAATAGTGGACCACACATATAAATGGAGTAGTTCCAAATCGCTCATGCTAATATTTAAAAAAGTGTGGCATGCTCACAAGTGTCTAGACTGAGGAATTCAAAGATCACTAGATTTAAGGCTTTTTTACTTCTTCCCCTAGTAGAAAATCAATACAACTTTTGTCTCTCTTTCATGGACAACGTGCGCCGCACGTGGCTCCTGCCCATGGATACATGGACACTGGACAATTTCCATTTCTAATTTATAAATTTTTTGTTACCCAAGAATCAAGATACATGATGAAACATTATCAACACTTTTTCGGAAGAAAAAAAGGGGAAAATAGTATAAAGTAAGGAGGGGAAAGAGGATCAAGTTAATGGGTCAGATTCCGAGTTTATGTTATGATGTTAGAATCTCTTTGGTTCACATCATCAGCTATAATTAAGTGGGTTTATGTGAGCAAAAGAAGACACATATGGTTGGGGGAAGATTCCATTTGTGCCATGAGATTTAGAGTTGAATTGATGGAATGTGGAAGGAAAAAGAAAAGTTGAATGAACTGACTTTCATAAGAAAGCCAGTGCTCACTTTTTTCTACTGAAAATATGGAGGGGAAAGGTAGTAGTAATTAAATTCATGCATGGTTACTTTAAATGTAGATGGTTGCTTTCCTCAGAAAAAAAAAAAAATGTAGATGGTTGCTTTTTCCTTTTACCCTCTATTTGTTTCTTTGGATAAAAACAGTTGTGTTCTCCCTTTACACTTGAAATAAAATAGTGGCAGATCTTAGAACAATGTATTGCACTCCATTGCTGGCATAAAGGCATTGTAATTCCTGTTATGTGGTTTCATTATCCCACATATACCTGTTAAGTTTGAACATTCCAGGAATCTTATATTTAAGATTGGGTTCTCTATATATTCATAAGGTTTTCATTTTAAAATACATATTTATATGTCGAGTAGTTACGTATAACTAGATAAAAATTATCAATATTATCATACATACTGTTAAAGTAAGAGAATCTTACATCAATTAACTAAAAAAGAATAAATGAACTTAAATGTAAACTACTCTATTTATGACTAATTAAATAATTACATGATGTTGATCAACAAAAATTGAAAATATTCAAAGTTCGCTTGCTATTGCAGAATAAGAATAGAAATCCAACTTTATACGATGCCCTTCAAATAATAACTCATGCTTAGGGTAGATCTTCAGGTTACGGTAGTGATTTTAGTTTGGATTATATAATTGTGTAATTAAACACAGAATAAGAATAGGGATCCAACTTTAAGATAGATAATAAATTTAATTATATTACTGTGTATCCTTGTACTGCATTTATATGCTCTACAAGGTTACATCAAGAGAAAATGGATCCAAAAGACAGAAGGGCTCCTGCGCACTGTACAGCACTGCTGCACTAACTGTTGCTATTAATCATTTGATTGTCAATTCACTTAAAATAAACAATAACCACATAAATATGTGAAATTATTAATCTCAGATCCCATATATAGGGAAGAAGCTCTCTTTTTCATATACTAAATAATATATATGTATGTGATTTTTTACAAGGTAAATAGGTAATCCTTAGCTGTCCAAGAGAACGTACAATTGTTTTTTTTTTTTTTTAATATTATTTAATGATCTAGTATGGATTTCTGTTCATGTGATTTATTTTGATGTATAGCTAGCTTAGCATACAAGTTATATATAATAAAGTAATTGAAACACAGTTGATTGTCTTGTTTGTCTAGAAATGTTGCACATACAAGTACCCTAAGATCAATTTTAATTAATTTATACAAGATTTAATTTGCCTTTTTTTTCAGTACGGATACGCCTATAGGAAGTGACATGAATATGTACATGTACTATATTGTACTTGTATCTCATTCTAATATGATGATAAATTAAATTAACTCCAATTAGTGCTATTTTTCAACAGCATTTAACATGAGTATTTAACACTTTAACTTAATTGCTAATCACTTAAGTAATTTAATGAAGGTAAGAAATTTGAAATTTTGAAATTTTGAATTAGAATTATATAATATGTAAATATGATAAATTAAGAAATAAAAAAATTATTTTTTATTGTGTAATTTAAAATTAAAAAACTAAACAAAAGAAAATATGAAAACACTTGAGTAATTTGATAAGTACGAAAATTAAAAAATAACAGTTAGGGGTTGTTTCATAAACTGACTTAAAATTAATGATAAATGATTTTATCTAATTTGATAATTAATCATTATTATTAATACTTTAAATATTTTTATTTATTAAATTAGATAATACCACTAATTATTAATTTTAAATTGTTATATTAAACAACCACCCCTTAATAAGACTTTGCCCAATTGAATAGGTGCCCTAATCAAATTATTATCTTAGATAATAATTGCTAAGAGAGTTATTGCTAAATTTTTTTTGCAGTTATGAATTCTTGGATAGTTTTTTATTTTTATTTTAATTGTATAATGAAAAGCAATCATCTCTCATTTTTTATTTCACCCTACTCAACTCGCATGCAATACAGTTTAAACTTAAAATTTCTTATTTCTAGTAAAAATAGATAATTGCAGATTTTTAACAAAACCCTTTATATAAAATGATTGCAGATTTTTATATTAACTTACAAGGAAAAAGTTTAAGAATATTCATAAAAAAAAATTAAATATTTTTTAATAAATCAATGTGCAAGAAAAATTTATTAAAATTATTAAAATAATTTTTTGAACATTAAAATGTGGACTTGGAAAGTACTTTTTTATTATAAAAAAATAAAAAAAGATATTTATTTTTGAGTTGTTTTTTTCCTTGAAAGAGCTGTTACCTACCTGGCTTCCTCAAGCGTGCGTTTGAGAAAAAGAGAGAGAGAGAGAGAGGCGAAACGGGTCGAAGTTGATGCGGTTGAGGCGACGCTATCTATTGCTTTCAGAAGAACACGCGCAAGGTGGGGTGACACGTGGGGTAATGAACAACCTGATTTTGTCTCCAGGTGTACCCTACAACGTCGCCTTCCGGATTACGCCGCCGTCGCTTTCTGGTCCTGTTCAAAAAATTCATCCCTCCACTCCACCTTCCCATGATTTCTTAAATAAATAAATAAATAAATAACACCCAATCATTTTTGTTTATTCACTCAAATATCTGTAGATAACTTGTGGGGTTTTTTACATGATTTTGGGGTTTAATTGCACCGTTATAAATCATCCATTATGCCGCCATGAAAACCCTATTAACCTATGCCCTGTTCACTACTTTTTGTTCTGAGTATAGTTTTATGGAAATCGATTCCTAATTATGCCAATAATTAATTTAAGTGTTAAATTTATTAATAAATAAATAATTTTTTATAATTTAAGTTTAAGGTTTGAATATTAAGAGTAATATTTAAAAATTTTCAGTTTTTTTAATAAACGAAATTAATGAGGAAATATCCTTAAAATTACTTGGTAAGTTGGCCTCAAAATACATTAAAAATTAGTCAGAAAACACCCTTATGTGTTGAAACAAAAAAAAGTTATTTATGCCAACAATCAAACCTTGAGTATAGATCACCAGTGCATTAGAATTTAAATAAATTATTTTTATTTTTTATAATATTTATGCATGTTATTTTTTGTACAAAACTAACTCTTAAATCACTATAAATAAAATTTTATTTTAGTTAATTAAACTAACTTTGTAGAAAAAAAAGACTTTAAATGTAAGATCATTCTTCATCCAAGACCCAATTTTATAATCTAAACAATACAAAAAATGGAGTCAAGGAAAAAAGTGGACTAATACTACTGTTCACTCTATTTTAAAATGATAGTTATTTTTTATTTAAA